ATAAGACAATAATCCAAGAATAGAGAATTGCTTTACATTGATTAATGGATATCTACTTCAAACCTAGCATAATTATATTTAATTTTAGAATTTGAGAAGCATTACTTTAAAAATCAAGAGCACTAGAAGATATAAACTTTTTACCATTTAATTTGTGTTGAATAGAGATTCTAGACAATGCAGTGAGACAGTAAACTGTAGAAAAAACAGGAGATTTAAAAATCTCATATTCCAATGAAGACTCAATTATCCTCATAGTACTGGAGATAAAGCTCAGCAACACAGTGTTGTGCTTGGCAAGCACAAGGTCCTGAGTTTAATTCCAGTACCCACCCCCCAAAAAATTATCCTCATAGAATAATCAAAATAACATGGGACAGGGGCTGGGGATTTAGCTCAGTGGCACAGCGCCTGCCTGGCAAGTGCAAGGTTGTGAGTTTGATTCCCGGTACCGGAAAAAAAAACAAAACCAAACCCCCCAAAAATAACATGGGACAATTAATTTTCTATTGCACTTTTTTCTCATCACAAAGAAAAATTAGTTGAGGAAGAGCACACAAGCTTAAGTAGGAAAAAGAGATTTTTAAAACATTAGGAAAAGAGTGATATAGAATGAACTTCTCATTTTGAAGTTGGAAAAAATATTTTAAGTAAGATTTTAAATGTATGCTTCATAAAAACATGGATAAATAAAATTGCATTAAATGATACATTTTAGATAAATACCTAAACAAAATGTTAAGTGCATTTAGCTTAAATAATATTTAATAAATGATCAAGTACTAAAAATGAAATTTTAAAACATGAATACTGGGACAAGAGGTTTTGCTAGAGAAGCCATGTAAATGGACAGAAAAAATTACACTCTAATTAAAACATTCCTTCATATATTGGAGTTTTTGCTGTTTCCTGAGTAGAATTCTCTACTTCAGAATTCTCAAAAATGCAAATATTTTATATCCTTTGAGGTACATATGTTCAATTATTTTTTGTTTGTTTTCCGGTACCTGGAATCGAACTCACGACCTCACGCTTGCCAGGCAGGCACTGTGCCACTGAGCTAAATCCCCAGCCCCTCATGTTCAATTATTAATGTAATATTTTTAACCACTTTCATTTTATCTGGATTCACTGTATGCTTCTTGTCTCAATGATTTAATTATCAAGAAGTCCATTCTGTTTGTAATTATTCTGTTTGTAATTATGATGTGTTATGTGTCAGTAGTTTGATCCCTTTTCCATGATATTTGACTTATTTCTTTAACCATTCAAAGTTTAAAGTTCATTAGACTTATTTTTTAAATTATCTTATTTCAGAATTTTACCTTATAATCAAAGGTCACCATAAATTTTAGTATGTTTCATAGTTATTTTTCCTTGTAAAACTGATTCTTCACCAGTCCTTTTTGTGCTATCTACTCTACTTTTATTTTTCCACCAACCTATGCTAGTATGAATTGATTTATCTTTAACTTTATGTTACTTGCTGGGCATGGTGGCGTACAATCACAACAGCACTGGGGAGACTGAGGTGGAGGATCACTGTGAGTTCGAGGCCAGCCTGGGATACAAAGTGAGTTCAAGGGCTGGGGATTTAGCTCAGTGGCACAGCGCCTGCCTGGCAAGCACAAGGTCGTGAGTTCGATTCCCAGTACCGGAAAAAAACAAAAACAACAACAACAAAAAATGTCACTTTTAAGGCTGGGCGTGGTGGCGCATGCTTGTAATCCCAATGCTCAGGAGGCTGAGGCAGGAGGACCGTTGTGAGTTCGAGACCCCCTGGGCCACAAAGTGAGCTCAAGGCCAGTCTGAACTGGAAAGCGAGACCCTGTCTCAAAAAGACAAAAAAAAAAAAAAAGAACAAAAAAACAACCAAAAAACTTTATATTACATCTCGGATCCTCCTTAGACATTTCATTTGCCACGACATGGCAGAGTTGAA